GGGGACAACCCAAAATTTTGGGTTTCTTTTACTTTCACTTTTGAGGATAGCAGTAAACAGGACAAATTGGAGAGGCTGAATCTCCCTAATGGTGGCACAAACCACAATAAAAAACTGACAGGTGTTCTAACCCCTCTCCACTGTGTCCAAAATTATAATTTAACCTGTATTTGATGAAAAAGCTATTGTGCAAGAAGAACACTGGGGACAAGATTACAGTTTGACATTGAACACATAGGAAAGGACCAGGCCTTCTGGAACAATGTGCTATGGACTGATCAAAGATAGGACTTTTTTGGTCACAGTAACAGTAAACATGTTTGACACAAACAGAAGAAATGATTATAAGAGAAGAAGCTAATACCAACTGTGAAGCATGGTTTGCAATTGCTTTGCTGCGTCTTATATCAAAGTGTGCCTTTCAACATAATAAAAATTATATCACACTAACAAATTGCTTATAAAAAAAAAAAAAAAAAAAAATGAAGGGTTATAGATTGGTTTAGTCAAAGCCCTGACTTGAATCCTACTGAATGTTACAGGGCATTTGAATTGGGGAGGCTTGTGCAAGGAATGTTGCATGGAGGAGTTGTCACAGACTGGTAGGTAGTTATGCAATTTTATGCAATCACCTAAAATACATTCTTTCTGCTAAGGGGGGGATACCAGCTTCTGAGGCTAAGAGTATACTTATGTTTTTCACAGTACACAAGTAAATCTATGGATATTACTGTTGAATAAACTATTGAAAATGAATATTTTCCTTGTGTTTTTACTCAAGTATATCACACTTTATCTATAGCAACTGCTTGAATGAAGATCTAAAATTTGCCTGTTCATAAATGCAGAGAAAAAACAAACAATTTCCATGTGATGTACTTAATTTTTCAAATGACTGTACATATGAATCACATACAAACAGTTCACTCTGTGCTTCAGCCATGCACCATTACATAAATAAGCAGTAGTTAATGTCATGCTTTTACAGCCAACAGATTCCCACAAAATTTTACCATGGGAATTGCCGCTATATATTGGTAAAAATATTTCTTGAAAACTGCTTTATTCCTGCTTATGATTCCACTGAAACAAGAATTAGGAGAAAAAAAAAAAAAAAAAAAAAACACTTATGTAACCAAATTCCATTTGCCAAAATATATCATATAATAGCAAGCCTGTAAGAATGCACAGTAAAAAGTTAAAATTATACAATCCAATAATTAGAGACAGTAAAAATGTAAAATAAAACAATATTGGAGATCACAAATTGGTAGCCCACAAAGGCCCCATTCACACGGGGCATATAAATCTGTGCCATGAGTGACAGCTATGTTTACCCGCATAAAATGCATAGGTGTTCTGTGCAACCCTTTGCGGGCAGTCTCACTGCAGTCAATTGGAAGACTATGGGAAGGCCTAAGGATTTCTAAAAAAAAAACTCTACTGCCATGAATTTGAAATGAGTTCCTTTCACGCAAATATTTTTACGATTCTTATATCATTTGGAAGTGGAGTTCCTAATAATGTGGTCACATGATCAGGAGACAGTCTAATTTTTTGGTCCCTTTTGATCTGCTCAGTATACCGTATTTTTCGCCGTATAAGACGCACTTTTTTCTTCCCCAAAACTGGGGGGGGGAAAGTTGGTGCGTCTTATACGACGAATAGAGAGAGAATCCGTGAGGCGCGGCCACGGCCGTAGGAAAAGCCGCGGCTTTGGCCTATCTCTGGAGTGATCGGCCATCTTAGTACACCCGGCGGTGCACGCTGACGTCATCACCCCCTCTGCTCGTGGATCCTACCATAGCGCGGATCAACAACAGGTGAGGAGCGGGGCAATGCAATGTTACTGGCTATTATTACTATGTTGGGGGCAATGTTACTGGCTATTATTACTAATGTGAGGGCAATGTTACTGGCTATTATTACTATGTTGGGGGCAATGTTACTGGCTATTATTACTAATGTGGGGGCAATGTTACTGGCTATTACTAATGTGGGGGCAATGTTACTGGCTATTATTACTAATGTGGGGGCAATTTTGCACTGGAACAGTGATGGTGATGACGAGTGGGGGGGCAATGGTGGACTTTACAGTGATGAGTGGGGGCAATGGTGGACATTACATGATGAGTGGGGGCAATGGTGGATGATGTATTAAACAAAAAGACAAAACGTACCGGTATGTTTGTCTTGTTGTTTTTTTTTTTACTGATCCGAAAAAGATCCAATCCGTGACTCCTGATCCGTGGAACAATCCGAACCATGAGTTCTTTCATTTCTGGATTTGTTACATGGTTGGCATAAAATTGTTCTTAAACTGCTATTAACTTTACACAGTTGATATAAAATATTTTACTACAGTATTGGGTTCAGAATCTTTTTTTTCTAGATTTTCCTCCCTTTTAAAATTGGGTGCATCTTATATGGCGAAAAATACGGTACTTTGAGAGTGTTTTATTAAATCTGTTTGATAAGTGAAAAAAAAAAAGCATGTTGATCATGCCAGAAATGTTGTAACCTGAAAACTTTCTGTGCTCTCTCCCCTGTGCTGAATGTAATCATCTGCATTGATCTTAGCTACCTTTAAGGACTATAGAGCCATGGCCCTTTATGCTACAGATAAACCACCACCTTACTAACCACCACATGAAAATAAAGGAAAAATGCTTGAAAAAAAAGGAAAAAAAAACCTCATGCAGCAACCATATTTGAGGACCAGTAAAGCTGCAATATATTACATTTTGTTCTTGGAACTAAAAAAAACACTTTAAAAGGCTTAATCTTGCCATAATTTGAGGTCTTGGTGTGATGCCTCAAGCGATTTCCCCCTGTCTACCTATTAAAGAAAACCTGTCACTACAAATATACTATCACACATGGGGCTATTGGTCCTCTATGGGATAGCAACAAAGTTAAGTGAAAAAAAAAAAAAGATTTAAAAATGTTAAAAGAAGTTTTTTTTCCCCCCCAGTTATATTTACCTAGGTGGATGCAGCATTGCTCCGATGCTGCATCTGTCCCCCATCGGCACCAAGGATGAGAACTCAGCGATCACATGACCGCCAATCGCTGAGTTCTCCTCTCCGCTCTGAGTAGAGTGGGACTGTCAGTTACCGCTGTCTGCTCAGCCCCCCGAGCGCTCACTGGAGCGCTGGGCTGTGGAGGGGGATGCGGCTGGCTCATGCCATCAGCGCTTCACTGAGAGGCTGAGCCAGGTGCCGCTCCGGACTCTGGGGTGAACCCCGACTTTGAAGTCTTTTCCCAGCTGGCTGAGAGAGTGGAAAGGCTGAGTAACGTCAGCAGACAGCCACCTTCAGTCTGCAGTCAGCTGAAAACAGATCACAAGAATGTAGAATGAACTGCACTCCTGTGATTCACAGGAAAAGTACAGCCAGAAATCTTTGGCTGTACTTCTCCTTTAAAGAACAGTAGGGTTTAGCTCTGCTTTACAGTGGACCTGAAAGTGAATATGTGCTACGTTACAGAGACCATCTAGAAATGTTAACCTCTTGTGAATCACGCAAAACATGTGTAAAAAAGGGTAGCCCAGCTGCTGCGCACATGCATCCACGAAGGCAGGAGGATGTGTACTGAGCTCTCGGTCAAGGCTTCTGATCAGAAGCCAAGAGGACAGACTCCCGATCACATAACTGCTGTGAAAGCCAATCATAGCAGTCATGTGATATAGATGTTTTACTGCCTCCTGGGCATTAAAGCCCACTTAAGTTGGGAGGGGGGTTTTAAGGGGTCTTTGTGCCTAATCAGTATCTAGAAAAATATATATATATATATTTTTTGTTATGAATTCCTCCTGAAAATAGCAGTTATTCCTGTGCCTATGCAGCCTCAAAACCTCACAGCTGTGTATCTCACATGTTGAACCATCTAATGCAGGCCATACATGGGTCAAATTTCAAATGAATTTTGTTTAGAAAATCGGAAATTTCATGCATTTCGTCTGATGGTGCAACCACTGATTTTGAAATTCAACCAACCAAGCCTTCAAATTCACCTCATTCTGCTACAGAAAATAATTTTTTTTTGACTAGGAATCTTCTTTTCTTTCCAGGTCACAGCTCATGCTCATTTCTTTTTTTATTATATTTCTCACACAATTCTCCAATCATTGATTAGAAATTCATTTGTTTTTCAAAAAATATCCGATTACTCAAATTCAATGGCCGTAGGAAAAGCAGCCGTTGCTTCAGCCCACTAATGGGGCGAAATTCGAACACAAAAAATCTTTAATTAAGCTATGATTTTTTAAAAATCGGTTCATATTTTTGAATGCATGGCCAGCTTAAGACACTGTGCCTTTAAATGGTAATTTCACAAAATTTGAAGTGATGTCATTGGTGTGATGCTTACGGTTCTTGCGGTAGATCTACCTGGGGACCTGCAGTGCAAAGGATCTCCTCTGTTTTATTAATTTTGAGGATCTGACCATTCTCAAACACTCCTGCTTTTTCTTGGTTATTATTCCATCATTTATCAGAACACCAGTCCTCAGAAACATGATATGAGAAGGAAAAGCCCTGCATCTACATGGACGACCACATCCACAGACAGTGCAAAACTAAGCAAGGTTTGTCAGGAAATGAGGAAAAGATCTGCTGCAGGTTTTCCACAGGTATCACTAGCAACTAGTTTTGTCATGTTTTTTTTTTTTGGGGGGGGGGGGGGGGTTTCACAGCTTCTACAGTTCCTGGAAACTACACAGGCTGACAGGCTCATCAGTAAAAATACAATGGCACAATGTACAATATTAACAAGAGCAAACAAAAGCTATCAGTGGCAGCAGGTTGCGCTTAACTCAGGAAATCTGCTTTGAAACACTACGCAGGTGTTTTTACAATAATATAATAAATTGCAGTTTAATTGGTAAATATTTGCAGTCTTTATTTCCATCTCTTATTCTAAATGACAGGGTGTACTGACAATTAGTGTACTTCCTATTATGGACCTATCTAATGTACAAAAAATAAAACTTTAAATACCTCTCAATAAAAGTGCCATTCTGTATCATCCAGACATCACAGTACGTGCGAGCTATCAGCATGACAGCTATGAGTAGCAGATATCCACTCTAAAATACAAACAATTTTTTTAGTGACCACAAAACCCAATGGCATACACGAATACAGAGGAATAGAAGGCACTCTTTTACATGGGTTAACAGATGGACACAATGTACTGACCTCCTTACTGACTGTTTTAGGGACTAATATTTTTAAGATGCGGCCAATTCTTGCAAAAAAGACTTTGTCGACCACAGCCTTTTCTTTCTTTCCCTCTTTCTGTAAAAAGAAAAGGCTGGAAATGTTGAAACATGCAGGTAGATTATCTTTTCACTTGACATTTTACAACAAAAGAATAAGAGAACCCACTTATAAGTTATCATATGATTTGTTTAGGAAACATTCTGACACACTCTCTTTACAGATCACCCGTGATTTACTATCTGCTTTACTATCCATGTACTAACCAGTGTACGCTTCAAACACTACATATGCCTTCAAAAATTTTCATTAAAAGGCAACCCTATAGCTACATATTAATGCTTTTCATGATTATTTATCCTAAATCACAATAGTGCTTGCTGCTTATTAATTTTGGCTTCACAAACATCTGTCCCCAACTGTACTTTATTTCTGTTTACGCACACAATCCACGAAGATTTTGTGTTTTCAAAATAGGCATGTGAACTTTGCATAAGTACTCAATTATTTGTTATGTCTCGTTTCTCTCATTTTCTATATACAGTTAGGTCTATATATATTTGGACACACTCTCAGGTTTAATTTGAGGGTATGTACAACCAAATTGGAGGAAGGCTTAAGGAATTACAGATCTTAAGAGTAGCCATCCCACCTTTTTCAAGGGACCAAAAGTAATTGGACAATTGGACCAAAAGCTGTTTCATGGCCAGGTGTGGGCTACTCCTTTGTTATTTCTTCATTAATTAAGCAGGTGAAAAGGTCTGGAGTTGATTCTAAGTGTGGTATTTGCATTTGGAATCTATTGCTGTGAACCTACAATATGTGTTCAAAGGAACGGTCTACGCAAGTGAAAAAGGCCATTGTAAGGCTTCAAAAATAAACAAATCCCATCAGAGAGAGAGCAGCAACATTAGGAGTGGTCAAGACAACAGTTTGGTACATTCTGAGGAAAGAAGAACGCACTGGTGAGCTCAGCAACATAAAAAATACATGGATGTCCACGGAAGACAACAGTGGTGGATGATCGCAGGATCCTCTCTATGGTAAAGAAAAACCCATTCACAACATCTAGACAAGTGAAGGACATTCTCCAGGAGGTGGGCATATCATTGTCAAAGTCTACAATCAAGAGAAGACTTCACGAGAGCAAATACAGAGGTTTCACCACAAGGTGCAAACCATTCATAAGCCTGAAGAATAGGAAAGCCAGATTAGACTTTACCAAAAAACATCTAATAAAAGCCAGACCAGTTCTGGAAAAGCAGTCTTTTGATGGATGAAACTAAGATAAATCTGTATCAGAATGACGAGAAAAAAAAGTGCGGAGAAGGCTTGGAACAGCTCATGATCCAAAGTACACAAAGTAATCTGTAAAACATGGTGGAAGCAGTGGAATGGCTTCTAGTGGCACTGGGTCATTGGTGTTTTTTGATGATGTGACAGAAGCAGCCGGATGAATTCTGCAGTGTTTAGAGAGATACTGTCAGCCCAGATTCAGTCAAATGCAGCAAAGTTGATTGGACGGTGCTTCACAGTACAGATGGACAATTATCCAAAACATACTGCAAAAGCAACCCAGGAGCTTTTAAAGGAAAAGAAGTGGAATATTCTGCAATGGCCGAGTCAATCACCTGATCTCAACCCAATTGAGCATGCATTTCATTGCTGAAGGCAAAACTAAAGGCAGCAAAACCCACAAACAAACAATTGAAGACACCTGCAGTTAGAGCCTGGCAAAACATCAGAAAGAAGGATACCCAGTCTTTGGTAATGTCCATGGGTTCCAGACTTCAGGCAGTCATTGCCGGTAAAGGATTTTCAAGAAAATATTAAAAATGAACATTTTATTTATGATTATATTCAATTGTCCAATTACTTTTGGTCCCTTGAAAAACAGGGGATAGCTACTTTTAAGAGCTGTAATTCCTAAATCCTTCCTCCAATTTGGATGTACATACCCTCAAATTAAACCTGAGAGTGCAGTTTCAGCCCATATCCATTACATAACTACCGTATTTTTCGCTCCATAAGACGCACCTGACCATAAGACGCACCTAGGTTTTAGAGGCAGAAAACAGGAAAAAAAAATTCTGAACTAATGGACTGCAGACATAGTACAGGGGATGACCAGAGACTGCGGACACAGTACAGGAGATGACCAGAGACTGCGGACACAGTACAGGAGATGACCAGAGACTGCGGACACAGTACAGGAGATGACCAGAGACTGCGGACACAGTACAGGGATGACCAGAGACTGCGGACACAGTACAGGGATGACCAGAGACTGCGGACAGTACAGGGGATGACCAGAGACTGCGGACAGTACAGGGGATGACCAGAGACTGCGGACACAGTACAGGAGATGACCAGAGACTGCGGACACAGTACAGGAGATGACCAGAGACTGCGGACACAGTACAGGAGATGACCAGAGACTGCGGACACAGTACAGGAGATGACCAGAGACTGCGGACACAGTACAGGAGATGACCAGAGACTGCGGACAGCACAGGGATGACCAGAGACTGCAGACACAGTACAGGAGATGACCAGAGACTGCGGACAGCACACAGTACAGGATGACCAGAGACTGCGGACAGCACAGGGATGACCAGAGACTGCGGGACAGCACAGGGATGACCAGAGACTGCGGACAGCACAGGGATGACCAGAGACTGCGGACAGCACAGGGATGACCAGAGACTGCGGACAGCACAGGGATGACCAGAGACTGCGGACAGCACAGGGATGACAGAGACTGCGGACAGCACAGGGATGACCAGAGACTGCGGACAGCACAGGGATGACCAGAGACTGCGGACAGCACAGGGATGACCAGAGACTGCGGACAGCACAGGGATGACCAGAGACTGCGGACAGCACAGGGATGACCAGAGACTGCGGACAGCACAGGGATGACCAGAGACTGCGGACAGCACAGGGATGACCAGAGACTGCGGACAGCACAGGGATGACCAGAGACTGCGGACAGCACAGGGATGACCAGAGACTGCGGACAGCACAGGGATGACCAGAGACTGCGGACAGCACAGGGATGACCAGAGACTGCGGACAGCACAGGGATGACCAGAGACTGCGGACAGCACAGGGATGACCAGAGACTGCGGACAGCACAGGGATGACCAAAGACTGCGGACAGCACAGGGATGACCAGAGACTGCGGACAGCACAGGGAGACCAGAGACTGCGGACAGCACAGGGATGACCAGAGACTGCGGACAGCACAGGGATGACCAGAGACTGCGGACAGTACAGATGACTGCTGACCTTTGGGGAGGGGGGGAGCGGGTACCTGAATTTGACAGGTACCCGCTCCCACTTCCGCGGAGTTGTTCTTTCATCTTACCTGTTCCTCTATCCAGCCGCGCGCTGTCTTCCCGGCTTCTGTAATGGCATTCGGCATGACAGCCGGGTGCCCAGTGCGCATGAGCGAGAAGCACTTGCGCTTTGTGATTGGTCCGGCGGCTTCTGGGATCTGTCATGTGTCCCAGGTGCCACCTTACCATTCACAAAAAGCACCGCTTCTTGCGCATGCGCACTTGGCAACCGGCTGTCATGCCCACACTACAGAAGCCGGGAAGACCGCGCCGCTGGATAGAGGAACGGGTAAGATGAAAGGACAACTCCACGGAAGTGGGAGCGGGTACCTGTCAAATTCAGGTATCCAGGCTCCCCCTCCCTCCCCAAAGGTCAGCAGTCATCTCTATAAGGTCCCGCTGTAGAGCTGAGCGGCCGGCCCGGTATTCTGACACGGCGGCAGTGGAAATACCGGACCGGCCGCTCCATATTCGCTCCATAAGACGCACTGACATTTTCCCCCCTTTTTTTGGGGGAAAAAAGTGCGTCTTATGGAGCGAAAAATACGGTATAGCTTGAATAAGTTTTGGTAAATACCTGCAAAAAAAACCAAACTAAAATTGTGCCTGTGTCCAAATATATATGGACTTAACTCTTAAAGCAGCCTTTTTCAACCTGGGTGTCGTGGTACGTTGGGATGACTTCTGGGTTCTTCGGCGAAATGCATTTAATTTTCCCCAAATTGTCCAACTATTGTGTACAAGCCAGTGGGTGGATCAAGCCTGCCTTTTGTTACACAAAGCCATGGGTTTTCATTGTGCAGCATGACAACCTTGGGCACCATGACACTGCTGCCAATCATCTGTATCCTGATGGTGTTGGTTGGTTTTGTCTGAATACAATGTCTTGGTGGGGAATGGCATTAAATACCTCCTCTTCACCTCCTTTGTGTGGAGGCTGAACGAAAGAAAAAAAAAGTCGTATGGCCAGCTTTACCGAGCTAAAAAAGTTAGAGTGTCTACAGCTAAAAACTTTTTTTTCTTTTTTTTTTTAGTTTTGAATAGAGTGTGGCAGGCTTTTAACCTGTCAGCTTTTACATCTATTGGAGGCTCTGCTGGAGCGATTCCTTCACTTCCTGTCTAGTGAGAAGATTGCCACGGGACAGAAAATGAAGAAAAATGCCTCTAAGAGCAACACAAAGAAATTTTTGTAACCGGTCAGGATTTTATTGTTGTCCATTTCCCAATCACAAATTTTCCCTCAATAGTCCTCATAACAGAATATAAATAACAGTCTCGGAAAACCGTAAAATTTGACAAGGGGTCTTTTCACTCACCAATCTCTTCAAAGCAAAACAAAAAAGCCCACTAAAGGTGAAAAGGTACATGTTAATAAAGTCAATATTCAGGGTTACCCATTTTGTTAAGTAAAGACAAAAGGCATAATCACCTCATTGTTCTGTACTGGAGTCCTCCCACTCTTCTTTCTGTTTGAAGAAAAAAAAAATCAGTTTTAAATCTACAGCAATACAAAAGAGGTTAAAATGAGAAGTTTGGTACTTCAGCTAAAATTACTATACAAGGACTTAAAATAAATACAAAAACTTTTTAAAATGAGAAAAAGTCAAAGCAGAAAATAAACTGGTTTAGTTTAGCTTGGTGACTAGCATATTCCTAAGACCAGCTATAAAGGGATCTCCTGGTGACAGACAAGCAGGAAAGTTCAAGTTCACCTGTTTTAGTGATGACAGTTTGTCAAAACTGTGGAGAAACATGGGATCAAAGAAATACATGATGGCTTTTTGTGTCAATAAATATGTACTATACATTTACTGAATTTGTATATCCAACAAGCTCTTTATAAAGCATTGATTATGACGGTGGCTGTCTCTGCTAAAAAACAGATTACAATAGGTCAGGTGCAATGTAAGGTAGCTCTGTGACCGAGTTCATTCAGATCATACAACAGGCTGTGGCATTCTATGCATAAATAGCCAAGCTATTTTGACTAGAAGTCCTCAGACCCAAAGAGCTTTTAAAAATATATCTTTGCAAACCTGCAAGACTAATACGGCCGTAAGAACATTTACAGGTATGACGGACAAGGTACTTGTTAGACACGTGCAGTCTATACTTTCACCAAATATCTTGTAAAACCTTTTGCCTACTTAAGTAATCGACACAGTTCAAAGATTACTAGACTAGGACAGGCACGGCTTCTAAAGAATGTAAGAATCAAAGAAGTAGCAGGCTATTATAAGAAATACAGAAAAGCACAAAAGGTTCACATCTAGCAATTCACAATTTTGATGCAGCCTCCTTAATACAAAACAAAAAACAACCTATAATAAAGGCAATTTATGCAAATGATTGGTGTGACACGTGCATCAAGTGGTTGTGGAGGGAACTTACAACAAAACAGAAACTCTCCAATCAGAAAAGGCTGCTTGCCACTCCTAAAGTATCTAAGTCTTCATTATATCATCCATTACAAAAAAAAAAAAAAAAACTTTTAGTAGGAGTTGGCATTAGGTGGCTATCTGCTATAAGGCAGGTAACAGTAAAGAAAGTGAGCAGCACATAATGGTACAAATTTGACATTTCAACATGAGAACATCAGTACCCTGACAGTAGCATGAATTTCAGCAGACAGAAAATGAGGTGACACCGCACGAGGTGTAGAACGCCTTACGTTATATAAAGGATAATGCTTCCCATAAAAGTAACCAATATAAGAGAAATCAATTCAGAGTGTTGTTACATGTATACATTTTTTTTTTTAAAAATCAAGAACTCCTCTAAGACTTTTGATCTTCCATATGTGTGACAGAAATATATGATAAACTAGGCAAAATATAAGGTGCAAACATTCAAATGCAGCAGGAGGGAAAGCCTTTGCTGAAATGTCCTTAAATGATCTCTAGACAAGGGCAGAGATAAATATTTGGCAGCATTTGCTAAAGCGTCGTAACTTTGTTTAAACTTTGAGCAGCGTATGAATTAAATGCGGTTTTCTGTAGAGATTTGTAAGAACATAAGTCTGTGCTATACATGGACTGGAGTGACACAGTATTGCTCTCAGTATATGAAGACGTTCAGTAAGGTGATATTTGTATTGCGTTTTCAAGTGCTTCAATATTGCACTAGGAGGCCAGCAACACTGTGAAAGGTAGAAGCTAAAGATCTTTGGATACATGCTGGAAAAATTCATTGCGACTTTGCCTGAGACGCAGTTACTTTACAGCAGACCTATTCTTAAAAACTACACTGTGTCTAGGTCCTCTTTATCCACTAGCCTACAGGGCACTTATACCCCCTTCCTGCCCAGGCCAATTTCCAGCTTTCAGCGCTGTCACACTTTGAATGACAATTGCACAGTCAAACAACACTGTACCCATATGAAATTTTTATAATTTTTTTTGTGGCAGATAGAGCTTTCTGACTGGCTGACTGGCACTGTTAGGCGGCACTGATTGGCATTGATAGGTGGCACTGACTGGCACTGAAAGGCAGCTCAGATGGGCACTAATATGTGTCATTGATGTGCACTGGTAGGCACTGATATGTGGCACTGATGGGCACTGGCACGAGGCACTGATGGACACTGACAGGTGGCACTGCTGGGGCTACACTGATCATCAGGGCACACTGATCATCAGTGCCCTGATAATCAGTGTACATGTCCCCTCCGCGGAAAGCCGATTACCAGCTCGGCTCTCCTCTCGAGCTGTCAGCGTGACAGCTCGAGAGGAGAGAAATGCAGATAACCGGTGTTTCCATTTACATGTGATCAGCTGTGATTAGACACAGATGATCACATGACCGAGCCGACATCTTCAGCTCTTTTCGTGATCGGTGATCCACTGTGTCCGAGGGACATAGCACACCACCGATCGCCGCGCGCTCCCTGAGGCGCACATGTGTGGTGAGAATGGGAGGACGTCATAGGACGTCCTCCCAGAACGAGAGAACCACCTTGTGCCCGTCATATTACTATATGGCGGGAAGGAGGTGGTTAAAGATCAGCTCCACGTACAATCAAGCAATACATTTCTAAAACGGGTAGGCAACCCCCGGCACTTGTGCAAGAGGTGGCACGCGACAGCAAGGATGGTACTCAAGGGGGGTCCTGGAAGACCCACCTCCCAAACAATAAAGATGGCCAGTTGCTACATACAGAAGAAGCAGCACAGCTAGTGCCTGTCCACCTCTATTCCCATTGGTGTCGCTTCCTGTGTTGCTCTCTCCACACTGAAGCTGTGTAAAGTCGGATTCCCAAGGCCGCGTGTTCCCACTTTAAAAGGGTAATTAATTCAGTATTTTTCCTCCTCTGTGGTACAGCACTCTTTTAGCCTCAACCGGCTCATGACCAGGATTTTACTATCAGTATACCTGCCCTCCCTCCACAGCATCCATGTGCCTGGCTCAGCTTGGAGGGGTTATAGCCAGAGAGGTTTAATGTTCAAATGGCTACTAACCCCTTCCACAGCAATCTTTTATGAGTAACTCAATGCAAAGAAGGATTTAATGTGGCGGGAAGAAATGCATGTCTAACAAATTATGCACTGATTTGCATGTTCATGGAGGGAAATAAGTATTTGATCCCCTTCACAAAACATGACTTAGTACTTGGTTACAATACACCTACCATTCGATTTTTAGACTGATCATTTCTGTGTGAGTGGGCAAACATTCAAAATCAGCAGGGGATCAAATACTTATTTCCTTCACTGTACACACACACACACACACACACACACACACACGGTAACAGTAATTACATGCATTATATTTGCTTCTACAGTATATCTTATCTATACCAGTGCTGCTTAATTTACAGAACAAGAGAAGAATGGCTAAGGTATTCGGCTAAGTGTGAGGTTTGCCTTACCAACTCTTTCTAAAACAATATGCACGCCAAAGTCAGCACACTCCAGAAGCCATTCCTTGTCCCTTTATCTGGCCTCAGCCCCTCCATATCACAGGCCTGTCTCCTTCAGTGAGCAGAATACAAGACGTTTTATGAATGTATGAGGGGAGAGTGAATGACACAACGCTTCACAGTACTAGTGCTGAAACGGTCAACCACAGGACCCATCATAAAAAGAACGTTAGAAGCAACTTATTTGAACCAAGCAAAAGTCTAAAATCAGTTTTATACTGGAGTTACGCTTTAAGAATTACTTCTTGCTTTGCCTCCTGGAATTAGTGGTTCTGTATATTTAAGGGTTGTACCACTGCAAAAATATAGCCAATGTTACTGAAAATATATGAACGCAAAAGTATTGCTCTTTGTTAAATGCCAAGATTTTTTTTTTTAACAAGACCCTACATGACTGCAATTGTTAAATACACTTTACGTTTTCTAGGTGTGGCTTGGAAATACAGGTTTATCTCGAACATTAAAAGTAACTTCTAAATACTTATTCAATATATTTAAAAAGATGCATTCTAAACAACAAAGATCTTTAGTGGTGGAGTATTTTATCCATTTAGTGAATATACGATGATGCCTAGATTGGTCACTTGTTAAAATATTGCCATGTCTCATCAATAAACGTTATGAGACACAGATAATGAAATGAGGATGACAATTTTGCTTGTATGAACATCCAATCAGAAAAATAGGTAAAAAGAAAGCTACATTACAGCTGAAAGTTATCTGTTCCAAAAAGGTCTGAGGTACAAATGGAAAAGTGAATTACAAGACATCCATTGTGAAGGTGAAGTAGCAGAAAGCCACATGTTGGAAATGAAGAGCAGAGTTCAGAACTACTAAAAGGATACATTAACCAGCAGATCAGTACTGAGAACACGTTGCCACACCCTACAATGATTCATCCACCCTTCAACGAGAGCCTGTTAATGATTTGCGTTTATTCTTCAGCACAATAAATGGAAATGCATCTTAAAATGACTAAGACTGGCCATAGATGGACTGAAATAAATCAGTAGGGACCAGACAAATTTTGATCCATTTGTAACCATACCTATTCCACACAAGGCAATCATTAGATCGACTTTTGTTGAACAGGCTTATTGGGAAAAAAAATTTTGACCAGCTGATTAGTGTATTCTGACAGTGGCAGAGGCCCGCTGTCAGAACACAAAGTCCCAGCAGGGAGGATTCCTCTCTATCCATCTCGCTGCTTATGTGAATGGAGGAATCCTTTTGTTTTTCACTCAGCCTGCTGACTGATCAAAAAAACAAAAAAAACAAAGCAAACCAAAAAAACAAAAAAATGTAACCTATGGCTAGCTTTAAAGCAGTAATAAACAAAAAAATATAGTGCAACTTATCAAACCTTACATGTGGAGGTGTCATTATGATTCTCAAACCTACCAGACTTTGAAAATTCTTATTTCAACACGTGAAGCAAACCTTGGTGATTTGTTCCAAGTTGGTGCGGTGCTATTACCCAATAAATAAAATCCAAATTATAGTCTACAAACAAATTATAGCCATCATACATAAATCTAAAGTACCATATA